AGACATGTAGAACTAGATAAGCTTATGATAAGCCAGCCTTGTCTACTTATTAAGGAAAAGTGGGAGGTTCTTTTTAATGAACATTAGCTTCTCTGCTTTATCAGCCATAAGTCTGTTCCTCTTCTCATCAAGCACATGAGAGGCAGCGCTGAACAGTCTCTCGCTGTCAGTGCTTGTGATTTGATCTTACTCCGCATATTTGTCCGGGTGTTTTGATTTCAAGTGGTGGAGTAATCCCGAAGTGGTGAAAGTCTTTGCAGTTACACCCCCTCGAGAAATGTCAGCTGAACACGTTTTACAAATCGCAATCCGCGCCTCTTTCTCTGATATTTTTAAATATCTCCAAGCGGCAGACATGTTGGCTGTGAGCCAGCCGCGAGCATGGTCGCGCGCCGTGCTTGTCGCCGCGTTTTGATTACGTCATCACAACAACACGTTAGCTTACCAACGTAACCCTGTTCTCTGACATTCGGTGATATTTTTTCGGTGCCTTTTTAACCATTTTCGGCCGATAATTTTCGCAACCATTTTCGGCCGATAATTTTCGGCGGCCGAATATTCGGTGCATCCCTAGTATATAACAAAGTATTGAGATTAACTTTTTTTATTGAACAAATACTTTTTTTTCCCACTGTATATATTGATATAAAAAACATCATGTATGAAAGTAAAACAATGACAATGAACATTTTACTGCAGAATGAATAGCTTTACCTTTTGCTGATAATACTTGCATGCCTTTAGCGCATTCAAGTTTTGAGTGTAGGACCTTAAATTGTATTGTTTTCAGAATGCGGTACTAATACTGCTGTCAAGGGTCTGAATACTCCTTTCAACACTGTTAAATATTCATCATTCTGTAAATATTCAGATGTGATTAGGTAAAGCTTTAAAACAAGCATGTAAGGACACATGAGTGTCCACTGTTACGCTGATGATACCCAACTGTATCTCAGCACCACTCCATCCTCCCAGCTCCCCCCTCAGTCTCTCATCAACTGCCTGCATAACATCAAAACATGGATGTCTTCCAACTACCTTAAGCTGAACAGCAGGAAAACAGAGCTCATGGTTGTGGCACCCAAGGCCCTGCTCCAGAAGGTTGGTGACTTCATCCTCGAGGTTGACGGCTGCTCCATCTCCCCATCTCCTGAAGCCTGCAACCTGGGTGTCATCCTCGACTCCACCCTTTCCTTCCATTCCCACGTCAAGTCTGTGACCAAATCGGCCTTTTTCCATCCAAGGAACATTGCCAGACTCCGACCGTCACTCTCGGAGTAGGTTGCCGAAACCCTAGTGAATGCGTGTGTCACCTCCCGCTTGGACTACTGCAATGGTGTCCTGTTCGGGGTTCCCAACAAAACCCTAGACAGGCTCCAGTATGTCCAAAACTGTGCTGCTAGGGTACTCACACATACAAAGCCGTGGCAGCACATCACTCCCACCCTCATCCACCTACACTGGTTGCCGGTCAAGTCCCGCATATCCTACAAAGTCCTCCTCCTTACCAACAAGTCCCTCCATGCCCATGCCCCCCAGTACCTATCGGACATCCTTCACCCACATGCCCCACCCCGGAACCTGCGGTCCTCAGACTCTGGCCTGCTTGCCACCCCCCGCACCAAACTGCGAACCTTCAGGGACAGAGCCTTCAGTGTGGCAGCCCCCACCCTCTGGAACGCTCTCCCTGCGGAGATCCGCAACATCCCCACGCTTGACGCCTTCAAAAGGGCCCTCAAGTCCCATCTGTTTGCCAAGGCTTTCGGCCCCTAATCGATCTGTTGTTTTGTCTGTCTGACTTTTGTTATGTTTGTTTTTGCCCTATTACTTGTAAAGCGACCTTGGGTCCCTTGAAAGGCGCTATATAAATCCAAGCTATTATTATTATTGTTATTTTCACTGTTATATTTAGTGATATGTACTATAATGTTAATATACTGTTATATAAACTGTAATACACTGTCATTGTTATATTAACCACTGTTTAATAGTAAACCAGAGGAGCTCAGATGAGTGGACATTTCCATGACCTCTCTCCCAGAGCTAACCTGTAGTCTCTCTTTGATTGCAGACCGTCTATGAAGGCAGGATATACAGTCTGAAAATAGAATGTGGAAACAGATACCCAGAATGCCCCCCCCATGTCCGCTTTGTGAACAAGATTAACTTGAACTGCGTACACAGTTCAAATGGTTTGGTAAGTATCCACATTTCCCTATAGATACACTCTCACCTATTAAGTCAACATTTCAAATGTGATCATTCATTTCAAGTGTTTATTTGTGTTTTGTGGACTGAATTAGAACCGTGCATTATACTCGGTGTTCATACTGGATTTTGAGAGATTATGCTGGCTGGACCCTAGGACCTAGGCATTGAAAATGTCATACATTTTAAAATAATAATCTGGTGCAGTTTGAGGGCAATGTAAGGAGGTTATTTATTATAAAGAATTGTGGTTTGTAATGATGTGCTCTCCAAACTATTACATCATAAACACATTGGTAAATATAAAAGATTGACTAATTAAATTCACTATCCCAGCCTATACACGTACAAACACGCACAAACATTACATCCCAATGCAGCCTGATCAAGTGGGTAAAGTACGGCCAAATGAGTAGGACAAGTAAATGGTATCACCATGTTCTAGCTGAGAAAGGAGAGGGCCTGTACCCATGACATGAGAGGACATTCGTCCATCTTATTACCCAGATAGAGGAGTGCTCAGTCTCAAACTACTCTCAGGTTCTAGAGCCTGTTTCAAATGTTCTAAAAATGTTTTTTGGAAACTACTTTTAGACCAAAAAGGTAGGAGTCATCAAGTTAGGACTTTGATATGACCCGTTTTTTGGCTTTGTTTCTAATTTAGCTATTTAGAGCGACCTCTAGCTTCTGAAATAGTTCTAAATCTATTTTTGTTTTAAATAGTTTGAACTCACTCCCAGCATGATTATTGGATAATATATACAACCTTAGTGGCACCATAGCTTCCTTAATGAGGCCATAATAAAAATACCTCCTCCTCCTCCTCTTTCAGGTGGACTTAAAGTCGCTGTCAGCACTGTGCAGATGGAAAAACTCCCACAACATCCGGATAGTGCTGCAGGAACTCAGACAGCACATGATGATGAAAGAGAACAACAGGCTCTCCCAGCCGCCCGAAGGCCAGGTGTTTAGCAACTGAGGCGCGCGCACACTGACACACACACACAAACACACACACTGACACTCTCATACACACACACACATACTCAGTGACACACACACACACACACACACACACACACACACACACACACACACACACACACACATATACTCAGTGACACACACACTCAGCGACACACACAGCATAATAGTGTGCTACTTTCAAAATATACCACCATTATGTTTCCAAGACTCCTCCCTCAGAACCCTCCCATTGGACGTAGAGGGATGTGCACTCAGCGCCCATTAAAATAAAAATAAAAACCCAGAGCAGACATTACAAAACAAAAATACCGTACATCTTACTAATGTTCTTTTTATTATCTTCATGTGTGTTCTACATCCAGATGATGACATATCACAGATCCTGATTGAGTCCACCAGTAATGTGTGTGTGCTGGACTCTTCACAAGTGGTGTCAGTTAGTCCCTCTTATATGGGTGTTGTGGTGATGAGTTTGAATCAGCAAAACAAATGTACTTCTGTCACTCCCAGCAAAATGTTGAATGTGGGGTCATTCTGCAGCGTACCTCAGCATCTTGCAGAAGGCTGAAACAGATTCCCTAGAGACGAAATCCTGCACCCACCACGATGCTTTGCTTGGTCTCCCAGGCTGCATTAGTATGTAACTCCCCAGCTTCCGCAATCCCGACGATGTGAATTTCACGGGCCTTCCTTAACAGTGCATGTCCGGTACATAGGAGCAGACTGCTACTAGACCTTTAGCAACGTATGTATCAACAGCACTGCTGGCTCATCACTCATGTTCTCAGACTTGTCCTCTGTGTGCCATATGGTTCATAGTGCTTTGTGATTGATTATTAGCAGCCAGTGGGGTGGGGGGGGGTTTTCTTGTGCTCAGGATCACCACTGTACTGTGGCCTGAGCCGAGCAGGAGGAGGGGCTGCGATTTGTTGTGTTTTTGGTTTCTTCAATTTCCAGGCTGACCTTCCTGTGTATACTCCACTGAACGCAATGTACGGCTTTGGATGTTTTATTTTATAACAGGTTGAATCTAATCAGGGTAATGGTGACCTGTTGCATGGTTTTATTTGAATTAAACGTTATTACTTTTGCACGTGTTGTGTCGTTATTCTCAAGGGAAACATTTCAGTACACTTTTTGTTTAAGTCAATCTTAAAACAATAGTTGGGTGTCCATATGAGTGTGGAAAGAGTTTAGGGTTGCTGATATCGTTCTTCCTGGAAAAAGCAAGATTTCCTGACATGTATTTCATATTGGGATACAAGGTCCTACATTACTAATACAAAACACTACAGTACACTCCATACCAGTTAAATATATATACGTCTTAAAAAACTCCACTTTGCGTGATATATTGGCTTTCTAAAAGAGGGATCTTTTTTGTGTAATATATTGGCTTTCTAAAAGAGGGATCTTTTTTCAGATATAACAAAGCTAATCCAGTGCAAAGAAGAATGTATTCAACTGTTACAGAACAATACACTGACGTTTAAAAAAAAAAAAATCCACATCCCATATTTCAACTCTGAAGTGCTTTGTAATTTTACTTATATCAATGGTAACTAGGTTTAGGTAACAAAATGCTACCTTCATGCTAACATCCACTCATATACACACAGACCATAATGTGTTGGGAAAGCCAAACCAAGGCAGGCGATCCCACATGCTGCCTTTCTGTTTCTGATCTGCATCTGCATGTTACAAGCCTAAGTAAGAGAGAATTGAGACCCGGCAGAATGAAACGGTCCCATCCATCACATGACGGTAAAGTAAGCTGTGGAGTTAAACGCTTCTCGTCCGTCAAACTGTCCTGACAGCACGATGCTGCTCTGAGCGGAACCAGACGCAGCTCTCCATCCAGCAGCTGCTGGGGCTCTGTTGGCCTCCTCTCTGCACGGAAACAAAGGGTGGCACGTGACCTGAGGCTGGGGGAGAAAAGATGAATCAATCACTGGCTGATACAGCTGGGTGCCCTTCACTCCCTTATATAACACACACTCTCTCTCTTTATGGACTTCAGAGAAACCATCAGCCAGATGCAGTGCTGTAAACAACCAAACTGAGTACTGAATGTCCCATTTGATATATGAAAAACTTTAAATCTAATCTTTTATCAATGACTTTTGTTATGTTTAGGTGACATGCTCGCTGTATGGGACCATCCTACAGTGATGCATCTCAGAGTTTCACGTCAATCGTTCTATGTGTGTGTTCAAGTCAGAGTCAAATGAGTCAGGTGCCTCGATGCATGAAAATGAATAGTCTCATGCACCAGTACGAAGAAAAAACATCACTGTGCTTGAGTATTTTAGAAGAAGAAGACATGGGGGAACTCTTGCTTTTATCTTCTGTTTGGAGTATAGCGAGCTGGGTGGTGAAGGTTTGTCATGTTTCGTGATAGTATTGGTGTTTGTCCAGTCAGTAGATACTTGAGTAGAAGATAATCACAAGTCATTATTTTTCTAGTAGGACATAGAATTAAAGAGTTCTCCACTAACTTAGTATGTTTCTACTGCAAAGCTGGACATGGTTTAAAAAGGATCAAATAAGAGCAGGCTGAGATATCCTGACTTTTAGTCTCAGGTATGGGACATGAGAAATGCTCTGGATCATATACTTCCCAAAATGCAATTCATCTATTCTTTGAAGGGTACTTTTTGCCAAAACAAATGTTAAGTCATTTTGGTTTTTTTAAGGACAAAAAGTTTAAATTGTCTTTATTATTGGCTCACCTATTGTGCGTGGGAGTGGGCATGCTTGGCCAGTGTGTGTGTTGTTTGTGTGTGTGACATTTGGACATGTCCTCAATCTCTCTAATCATATCTGCTGTGATGGACGTGTCCTCAGTCAGCATAACGATATTATTCAGATCAGCATTCTCTCCACCTGACACACTGAGGCTAACAAGTGGATTCATAAACGCTCAGCAACCTGTGGTGCTCTACATTGAGAGAACTATTGCTCGAGGTCTGTAGTGTTTCATTAATGTTCTGCGGTTTATTCAGTTAATACACCAGAAGGGATGCACTGACCTCCTGTCATGAACAGGGAAGAACACAAAGACTAACCCATTGAAACACTTCATTCCACAATATGTGTGTGTCACACACCAGTAGGGATGGTGTTCCCATAACGCCATCACACAGAGAACAGGTCCTGCTCCTTCAAGAACCAACCGGTGACATGTACAAGCTTATGGATCTTTAAAGCTAAATTGAATATCTTGTTCCCTCAGGACAGCATCCTCTTTTCACAAGTGTTCAGATGTTTTTCCTAAAACAGAATGTCTTGTTCCCTCAGAATAATATAACTACCTCTTTAGATGGATCTTGGATCTACCTAACTTCCTAAATAATATCTTGTGCGATCGATCATCATCTGAACCCATTTATTCTTTATTGACTGAGCCATAAGCAGCACATGAGTTGTACACCCTATGCAACAACATCCACATTAATATCTGCTTAAGTCAAAATAATATTAATAATACCTTATTCTAGGAGTAACAGGATTTTTGCTCTGCAACAATTACCGGTGATTAATAAATACAAATCTACTCCATCATCAAGTGTTGAGTTTTTATTAAGTTTTCATGGATTAACTATAGATAATGTTCAAGGCAGCTATTCTGTGCCACCATTTAGAACCGTTCAACAGATCAGTCATGAGTCAGAAAAAACAAGTTCTCCCACTGAGCCAGAAGACACTGAAACCAGCAGACCCAGTTCTCCTGTATGCAGCTTTAAATTCATAACAACACTGTATATCCAACATCTGCTTGCAAAATTCCTGGTTTTCATATGAAAATAAAGAATGATGAACAGTCAACACTTCAGTAAAATACTCTGTTATAGGAAAATTACTACTTTTATAATGTTCCTTAAGTAAAAGTACAACCGTTTTAACATCAAAATAAAGTTAAACTGAATCATAATTATGGTGGAGCATATTCTAAGTACTTTATATATTTATTCCCAAAAACACATCATCCTTTATTATTATGTATACTATGTAGCTAAAGCGGACATTAATGGACTCAGAAGTTAAGCAGGATGCAGTGAGGTAGAAGTATTAATTAGCATAAACTGGAATAACGTCAAAATTATACTTAAGTACAATACTTGATTAAATGTACTTAGTTACTTTCCACCACCATGAAAAGCTGCATTTGCATACCATCTCGATAATTAACTCCATCGGCCGAGTCTCACTCCATTTGTTACACTCACATAAAGCACAGAGGTGTCAGATGGTCGCTGACACACACTCCCACATCCATTCTCTGTGCAGCGTGCAGGAGCCCATCTGCTCCCAGGGTCAATGAACACACACACACACACACACACACACACACACACACACACACACACACACACACACACACACACACACACACACACACACACACAGAGCATGCCAATTAGTAAAATTAGACAGATTTGTTCTGTTCATTTGCATTTCTTATAGCGAGCACATGGTTTCAGTTCGCACATTAATGGACTGAAATAAAAAATGTAAGAATCTAAATTTAAAAACATAGATTCTTACACTATTGGCCACAGATAAAGCCTCATTTGTTTTATGCTTTTATTTATGTTTTTCATGTGTTTTTGAATGGAATATAATCTTATATTATATATTATATATATACTTCAATTTGAAAGAAGAAGCCATACTGCAAAGTATTTGCAGTAGCAAGTTTAGCATACTGTGAATCACTTTAATGGTTTTATTCTTACTTTACACACTTTAAATTTTACTTAAGAATAATACAAAAAAAAGTCTGTCTCTTCACTGCACTGTATTTTCAGCTTAGTATTACACATTACATTAGGCATGTAGGTGTTTCCTCACGTCCTCCGGTAGCACCAGTCTGTGCTCTCAGTGGAGCCGACTGTTCACCAGTCTGACAGCTGAGCTGGTGACGCTGCGTTCACTTTCATCAGGACTTTATCCTCTCTGCTCTCTGACGTGTGGAACAAACGACCTGAGGCAGAGACAGAAGAGCTCAGAGGGGAGGGGAACATTGGTTGAGAACATTTCGAAAACACTTTATAACATTTGAAATGGAGCTAATATTGGTTGTCAGATTGCAGCAGTACACAGTAGTACATCGCAGGTCAAATAGGTATTAATACTATCTGTGAAAATAAAGTCCACTGAGATTTTCTAGCCATGTGGATAATGTTGCCCTTGGTCACACTCACCACATATACAGACACTTTATGAAGTCTATAGTCTACGTAAAAATAAATCTATGATACCATGATACTTTGATGTATAAATGGACCATTCATATAACTATGTATCAGGGATGTGCACAGACATTTTGGGGGGCAGGTGCTCAAGTGAGAACAAGGGCACTTCCCATAATCATTTATAGAAAAAATGTTTTAAAACAAAAAGTTAAATATAGTTGCACATCTCTGACTTACTGACCAATTTATTTTTAATACCCTCACACTCACGCAATTGTTTAATATTCTACAAAATAATCAGCTAACACAGAGAGTCTTCTTTAGTATTCACCAAGCACAAGAGCAGACACAAAACTAATACAATTCATAGTTATTAAATGAGCAACCAACAATCAAAATTATGAAGTTACTGTTTAAGGACATAACAGCTAAAAGATAGTTTTTTCATGTACTTGTTATTTTGGTCTATTTTGCTTCCATGTTTTCTTTCACTCTAATGTAAAGAAAACTTCCAAGAAACGCATATAAATAGTGTTCGTTTTATGTCTGAATTCATCTATAGATTTAAAGCTAATCTGCATTTAAACATAACATTTCAGGGGAAAATACTGACTTGACGTAAGTAACTATCTGGGGAAGTTATGAGGTGATGTGTTTTTAGTTTTATCCTTTTCACCTGCAATGCCTTGGTAACTGCATGCAAATTAGCGCATTTTAATTAGGCCTATAGTTAACGCCTAATTTGCATATCAATGTGGCGATTGTGATGACGTTATTAGATACACATTTGACTATTTTCACTTTAAGTATCTCCCCTTGAGTACAGTACATTAGCCTGTATGCCCGTGATAAATTGCCTTAGCTAAACCTTGAGCTAACTTATCCATTAGCTAGTAGCCTTAGTTAACTATATATTTGTTATTGTATTTTAACTAATTAGCTGTAAACTCGAGGCACTGGCAGTTTAGTAATTTGTTCATCACCACTCACCTTCAAAATAAACCAAGAAAAGCCGGCATAACATGGAACAGTAAAGTGGGAGGTGCCGTACCTGTCTGTCTGAAGTGACTGCTGATGTCCACACCGCTGTGCAGGAGACGTGGAGGGAGGGAGAGCTACGGAACTTCACAGTATAAAATCTCCCGACCTGATATTTTAATTTTGTATTCAATCAATATATCTTTGGAATGGGAAACTGTGCGCAAACAGCAATAGATATATATTCATTTATAACAAAAGGGGGGTGGGGAAAGGGCACGTTCTCTGGAGGAAGAAAAAGGGCAGGGGCTCAAGCCCACTTTGATGTCTATGTGTGCACGTGTCTGCTCGTTCTTATTATACATCCATGTTGTAGTCCGCTGTATAGAAAACTGTAGATTCCTCACAGACGATAGGAGCTGATTTTTTTACTATTAGACCGCAACCCTGAGGTCCCATCCGCGTCGCGAGGTGAGGCCACGCAGTCTGCGTGATCACAGTCTGCGTGTAGGGAGGGGCAGCCCTGTACTGTACAAGTGTGCCAGCTGCACATGTTTGTGCATGTGAGCGGAGATGAGTCAAAAATAAACACATACATTATCTTTATGTTGCATATCTTGCTTAAAGTGTGAAAGAAAATGGAGGATACACAAAGAAACATGTGTTATATATGTTTTTGAAGATGAATACACTGCTGACATTAATACTCCTAACTAATCCCATCCCTGAAAGTTGCCTTACAGTTCAAGGTTAATGCTTTACAGGACTTGTACTTGTATAAGAGTATGTTTTACAAGTGGATGTTGCTTCTTTACTAAAGTTAATTGTCTGAGTACTTCTACCACACCTGTGGTAGATCAAACTTAAGTGGTTGACATTGACAAGGATCAATGCATTAACTTTATTGAATCCGCTGCAGGTTGATTACATCAACGTTATAGCTTTGGTCACGTTTTTATTTTAATGTGTAGTCTGTGGAAAACGTATATATAACTCAACCAATGAGATCTCAACCAGCTGGCATGTGACAACTTCCATTGGCTCCTTTTTTCATTAATATTCATGAAGAAAATACCCCGATGGCCAGTCAACAACACTGGGCGGTACCTTTTAAGACTACAACCGGTTTTTCACAGTCTGCTTCTCCGAGTGTTCCACTGCAGACGGGATGTTTTGACTTTCCACATTTTACCGTCAATTTTCGGGATTATAAAACATTAAAGAGTCCCTTTTTTCAGCTGTTAAACCGGATGTGGAGCTAGCCTTATCGAGCTAACGGGATTTAACCGCCGAGTCGTCAGTTACTCCGTAGATAACGTTAACAACAAGGCGGAAAACATGTCAGACAAACCGATGATTATCACGCTGGAAACAGCTTCGGGGACAACGAGTTCATTTCCCGTGGTGTTGAAGCAGATAATGGACATGCCTCCACCGAATATTCTGGACTACGACGATGGTAGGTTCAGTGTAAACGGATTTAGAGGAAGGACCTAACCATGTAGCACCAAGCTAGCGCGATTTTAGGTCAAACCAAACGAGAGTTCACGATGTTTAGAACAGTGTGTTCACACAAGCCTCTCTCTTTTTACACTGTAAACTACGCCTTCTTCTTTTTATATATGTATAACATGTGTTTCTTTGAATGACTTTTTTTACAATATAATAATACATTACATTTATAAAGCGTTTTTCCTGGTGCTCAAAGCGCTTATAAGCAAGTAAAACAAAAATAACAACAAAAGTAGAAAGTGCTAAAGCTAGGTGGAATAAAGGCAAGAGGTTAGTTGATTAGGAGTTGAAGGCAAGAGTGAAAAGGTGAGGTTTGAGGAATGTGTGTAATCGGATCGGGGAGGCTGCAGCGAAGGCCCTGTCATCCCAGGTCCGGAGCTTTATAGATACAGGCTATGGTCTGGAGCTGTGTCCTGATGGGCTGCAGGGCGGACTGGGCAAGGTTGTTGAGGGCTTTGAAAGTGAATGCGGTGTTTGATGGGGAGCCAGTGGAGGAGGTCATGGAGGATAGGGGTGATGTGGTCGGAGCGTCGGGTGAAGGTGAGCAAGCGGGCAGCTGAGTTTTGGACATACTGAAGTTTTTTTTAGTATGAATGCAGGTGATCCAAAAAGTATGTTGTTGCAGTAATCAAGTCGGGCATGGATCAGAGTTTCGGCAGCGGTCGATGAAAGGGAGGGTCTGATGCGGGCGATGTTCTTTAAATGGAACAAAGCGTTTTTTTGGTGACCTTGTTGACGTGAGGGAGGAAAATGAGGGTGGGCTCGAGGATGATGCCAAGGTTACGGATGTGAGTGGAGGGGTTGACTAAGGGGCCGTCGATGGTAAGTGAAAAATATTGGGTTCAGCGGGTAAGTGAGTTTGGGCCGATGAGTATAAGTTCCGTCACAGTTAAAGGTGGGGTATGTCATTTTGGAGAAACCAGCTCGAGTGCGCTAGAATGTGAAAATACCATAGGAAAATACACAGCCGGAAAAAATCTGCCACTTCCTTACAGAGCCCCTCCTCCAACACACACGAACATGACCAATGAGGGCATGAGATAATTTTGTGCACAGATGGAAAGCTGACAGGCAGGTAGGCCATCCAGTTACTTTAGCCGGGCTGGCTCAGATGATTGGTCGTGCTTTTTACAGCGCCACGGCTTCCACAGATTAATGTTTTTAATGTATTTATTGTCAACGCATTTCATGTATTCATTGCTATCGGGATGTTAAGAGCATTCCATGGAATATAACAAAAAGTGTTTCTGAAATAAATTACATACCCCACCTTTTAAGTTTTAGAAAATTGTTTTGCATCCACATTCTAATGTAGACGTGTATTTGAGTCTCTCGAAAGCGCTCTATAAATAAACTGTGAATCAATTAATTTTAAGTTTTGTTCAAGAAAAAAGTAACTAATTTAAATGTGAAGGAAAGTGCTTGACATGTAAAAATTCGTTGCTGTAACTTACCTAACATATGCATTAATATCCTAGGTATTTTATGTCTTTAAGTCCAAGCTGTGTTGACCAAAAAAACCTCTTGGCAAGATCATTAAACTCGCATTTGAAGTGCATCTAACAGTTTAGATTGCTCATACAATATGCATGGTCTTATTACTACAATGAGAAAGGGCCAAGCAGGTTGGCTCGAGCCTCTGTTGTAAGTTAAATACATTTCCTGTGAGGAAGTTAAAAAGAGACAACTAAAATGCCACTAAGTTACCTAACAGACAGAACAGGCATAGGGAGACACAAAATGGGGGTCCCATAATACCACCATAACAATATACACTGTAGGCTACATTGGTTTTATAGGGACTCTGCTAAGCCTAAAGTAGAACTTTGAGGACTTTATATTAGTCCAATTTGAAGTAACAACAATCTGACCTTGAATATGAACAACAATATAAAACTGATATTAAGGTAGTCTGATAAAACGGGGGAAAAACGCAACATCTTGCAAGAAACAGCGTCTGAGGCAGTGGCGTCGCCTGTTCTGCGAATGTTTTTTCTGTAGCTCCGGACAATTCTGCCTCAATAATATAATACATTAACCGTGCTTTACGCGAAACTCATCATGACACAAGAGAGGACGGCAGAAATGTAATTTCCCGTTTTCAGTGAATGCAACAGAGGCAAGACACCAGATCTACCAGAGAGTTGCATGGAAATAAACGTGTGCTTGTGTCATTCAAGCTCGGCTCTGTGTGTGTGTGGCTATAGCGCATTTAGTGTGATAGAGGGAGAGGGGGACCGGTGCCAGCAGGGACCGTGTTGTTAGCATCTGGTTAGCTAGCTGCACTAACGGACGTAAGGAGCTGTTTCCACAACAAGCTGGAGGAGAGTCCTCTCCTGACAGACTGAGAGGCTCAGTGAGCCAAACAAAGGACTCTGAGGGTTTAGATAGTTAACTTTAGTCTCAGTGGGTCTCAAACGGTTTGGATAAAAGCGTCAGCTAAAATGTAATGTAATGTGTTGAGAGATGTATCCATAGATCTCTCCATGTTGCTCTCAAAGTGCACCAGATTGATGCTTTTAACTTCAATATTTAAAACAAAATCTTCCCGGGGGAGCATCCACCTGGAACCCCAAGGAGGAGGTCCACCCCCCACTCATAAAAAATAGCACTTTACCCCTGCCTATATGCCGTGAGCTGATTATCGAGCCTTCATTGTAACAGTCGCGGGTGTACTGTGTGTGTGCTAGTGGGGAGTGTTGCAGTAGAACATTCCACTGTAGCGCCACTGTGGGCTAAATCCTGAATGCGGGCTGAGGGCTTCTTAACATTTAACAAACTATGAAAGTGTCATACCCACTTAACGGGAAGAAACTCCGCTATCACACAATATTAACCATTTTTAGCTAAACGAATCACAAGGGTAATACCAAAGGCTCTGAATTAGCCCTGGGTGAAAAAATGCTAACACACTTAGTGCAGAACTAAAGGTAAAATATCCTTATTACTTATCGGATCTGCACAAACAAGATATCAGCTAGCAAACTGAGATTCCACAGATTCTAGAAATATAAGTATCATCACTGTGCAATCAAAACTCGCGCCAGGGGAAGGAAACACGGGAGAAATGCCTTACCTTTTGCTGTTTCTGATAAAAAGTTGTGTTCAATGGCATTAAAACGATAACAACACTGCTGAAGGTTAATCCAATGTGTCTGTGTCACTTTGAAATGATTACTAATAATCCATCTTCATATTTATGTCAATAACGAAGTTTTCATATATAGCTGCTACCAGAGTGTATGAGAGCTTCCGGTTTTGGGCATTCTAGCTACGCATCACTCATTCACCAATGGATAATGTTTAGATGGATTTTAGGAACTTCCCCTCGATCCTATTGGCTCTAACGGTTAAAAAGAGATGTCAATCATCTAAATCGACCGAGGGAGTTATGGAAAATCCACCCAAATGACCCCAGAAGTGGGTTGTCTTTTTCTAATTCTCTCAAAAGGTTAAATGTCAGTTGTTTTGCATCAATCTTGATACAGGCTACTTATTATATGTTGTAGTTTGGATTCCTAAAGCTTTTAGTCTACCATCCCATCATTCAAGGGTGGTTTTCACTATAAGTCTTTTTTCTTTTTTTTTGGACGGACACAATAATACATTTTGTTACTATGATCAATCTGAATTTACTTTTAAATAAAAAAATCTATATTGATTCTGACATTTCTACATCCAACTCACAGGTTTATCATTGCTTTGAGAAAAAAGATTATTAATTTACCCCTTTTAGAAGTGAAGATAGTCACTTGTTCTGGGAATGTCATTTTTTGAGCCTGAGACCTGAAAAACAGGTTTGTGAAAAGGTGCAACAAAAACCTGGTTGATGGTTGGATTTCGTACCTGACGGGTCTTCTGGAAAGGGAGGAAAACCAAACTGACTGTGAATCAGCGTTTCCGCCAGGGGGGCGCCTTGCCGTCATTTGATGCCCTTATTCAGCTCGGGTAGCCCTGAACTCGAGCCGAGGGCTTCCACAAATATTAATAATTCGAGAGAAGATCGAGAGTTTATATCGCTTCAAATGACGAAAAGGAAAAAAGACAAGGACATCCCTCTGTTGGAGGGGCAAAGGAGTGCGCAATTTGGACGCGATGAACGGGGGGGGTTTAGTGGAGCACGCGCGCGAACTGCAAGCACCAGAGCTTCGTAGCGGCGAAACTGAGGCTCCGTGGTAAACTGTGGTAACATGCGGAGCCGAAAGAGCCGGCGCTTTAAGAGAGCCGAGCCAAATGATCCGGCTCACTAACGTAAAAAGACAGTATCTATAAGGGATGGCCCTCTCAGCCCTGGTCTGCTGGAAACACTGCGTTGAATCCTGTGTTTCTTATATCTAAATATGAATCTTTCCTGCGTTTCAGACACAGACAAGGAAAAGCTGTTACTGGGAGACGATGTTGACCTTAATGGAGGAAGCAGCGATATGGGTCCTTCAGCCTCCCTGACCCCGGCTATCTGGGAGAAAACCATTCCCTATGATGGCGAAAACTTCCACCTGGAGTACATGGACCTTGAGGAGTTCCTCATAGAGAATGGCATCCCCAACTTGCCCGACGTGGACGCCCAAAAGAGCAGCCTGGCCGATGGGAAGACGGTGAAAGGAAAGGCTCCAGCTTCCTCACTGCTTCCCATTCAGGACTTGGACATGTGTGGGGAGGACATGCTGATCATCACCAAGAGTGACTCTGATATCCTCTGTGATGTGACTGCAGGTGAGTGGAGCCTGGAGGATCAGACATGAAGGAGATGCAGGTTTTATTAATCTCTTGGTGTGTTATTACATAGTCAAAACCAGTTGTTTAAGCTAAGTAAGATGACTCAACAAGTCCTAGTGTTTAGAAATAGGGACTAGGGTTTAAAACATGGTTATCTATTAGGTCGCACAAACCTGCACTTGATAAACAACATGGCCTTATTTTAGATGTGCTAGCATCAATGAACTGTTTTTTTAGCACTCAAGTTGTCAATCCAACAGCTTGTGCATACTTTTTATAAATGTGAATGCGATTTGCACTTCAAATGTAAATTGAAGCCTTTTATATGTTGAATGTGTGTTATGGCAGAAAGGAGCATTTTGTAAATATAAAAAAAAACATGTGACGCTGGAGCTTAATCTCCATCCGTCTAATTTGTCAGTTCTCATGTTCTCCTTCTATCTGCTCAGAGGTGACCACTGATAGTGACCGAGAGACCCCCGAGCCTATTGACCCCGATGAGATCGAGGTGGAGATTAACTACGAGCCCGACCCCACTGACCTGGTGCTGTCGAGCGTTCCCGGAGGCGAGCTGTTTGACCCTCGCAAACACAAGTTCACTGACGACGAGCTCAAGCCACAACCCATGATCAAGAAGGCCAAGAAGGTGTTGGTGCCTGAAGAACAGAAGGTATGCTGGGAGAAAGACAAGGGACACAACAGTCCAGCAGATACTTTACACTGGCTCCTATTTTTACTTGATGCTGTAACTTTTGAAAAAGCGTGTTAAAATGGTTTAAGGCTCCAGGGGTGATATTTACTGGCCCTTTGAATATAATGTTAAAAAGTAATCTACTTATTTATTTATTTTAAGATTTTTTAATTTTAATTTTTTTGGGTCAGAGTGCCCATCTACTAGCTACTGTAGTGACAGCCCACCAACTAGCTACTGTAGTGACAACCCACCTACTAGCTACTGTAGTGACAACCCACCTACTAGCTACTGTAGTGACAACCCACCTACTAGCTACTGTAGTGACAACCCACCCACCTACAACCCACCTACTAGCTACTGTAGAGACAACCCACCTACTAGATACTGTAGTGAAAACTCCTGTCAATTATTGCATCTCTAGGTGAAATTATCAAATCATTCACCTAAATTAAATCAAATTAAATGATGTTGATGGTTAAATTAGCTTCACATGTAGGCCTACTGAGTTCTGAACTTGCCATTTAGATCTCTAAAGGCCTTGGGGCTATGTTGTTTGATTTACTTAAACACAATATATGCACTCCACTATGCTGTTGTAGTATTTACTGTATCTGAAGCTCTTAATATGATGGCTCATATTTCAAGCCATCTTTTTCCAGGCCCCTTGCTTTGGATCATTTTCATCAACCGGCCCCATTCCAAACTAATTGAATAGCCCTGGTTTAAGCAATATAAGTGTAAGACTTTTTTTGACCAACCTCAAAGCATGTTGAAAGAATCTTCAGAGGTTGACATTCATCAATGTTTTCAATAAGAAATGTAATGCAACAGCTTTACTGTCTTCTAAACAGCCAATTCACTGGATACAAACTGGGGAAACGACAATAGATACAGGCATTAGCTGATACAATTACAAGCCTGGAACAATCATTTTCTTTGGCTTGTCATTGCAGAGCTGGTGTAATGGAAGGAGACACAGCAGAAACCAGGCTGTCTCACAGTTTCCTCCTTCCCAGTCCCTCTGAGAACTCATGTTTTTGTTAACACAAAAGATGTTCAGATTGGGGCTTACATCACAATAACATCACAAGGCTATAAAACCAGGTCGAGGTCAGAAAGCATCGAGGGGTCTCATGTTGTCTTTCTTTCCTCCGTCCAACCTGCTGCTCCTTTCTTCTCCAGGACGACAAGTACTGGCACAGGAGGAAGAAGAACAACGTGGCGGCCAAACGTTCCCGTGACGCCCGCAGGTTAAAGGAGAACCAGATCACCGTGAGAGCCTCGTTCCTGCAGCGCGAGAACTCGGCGCTGCGCACAGAAGTCGCCGACCTGCGGAAGGAGTCCACCCGCTACAAAAACACAGTGGGGCGCTACGAGGCTAAATATGGAGCACTGTAAGGGAACACATAAACACATGTTGAAGGACATCTGTACAGCAGACAGTATCAGTTCCCACATGCAGGGTTAGAAACATTATTTGGGCAGTGTTGTTATAAACAAGATTGTAAGTTAAATCCACTGTTACACATAGAGTTCACAACAGGAGAGGAAGGAGACACGGAGGCAGAGTTAAACACTTCTGATATTCTCACGGGTGAAATCTTCAGTCGGGCTGAAAATAAAACAGACACTCCTCCTCACCAGAGCACCAAACACTTCCTGGTTATGATGGATGGGCATCACTATTAGAAACTGAACTTGTTATTTACAGAACATCAGATATAATAATAATAATACATGAGATTTTTATAGCGCTTTTCTAAAAACTCAAGGACGCTTTGACAGAGAATAAAAACAACAACAAAACAAAGAGATAAACAAAAACAGAAAAGGGGGGGAGGGGGTGTTCAGTGGTCGAATGCAGTGTTGAACAGGTGGGTTTTGAGTGATGTCTTTATGTCGAAGTAAATATTCTGAAATTTCAAAAACAACATTCTTTCTGCGTTCAAAACTATTAATAGCTTTTCTGCTTTTCTAGGGTAGGGGTTGTGTGTGTGTGTGTGTGTGTGTGTGTGTGTGTGTGTGTGTGTGTGTGTGTGTGTGTGTGTGTGTGTGTGTGTGTGTGTGTGTGTGTGTGTGT